GGTGTGCCCCTGCTCATGAGCTTACGAGCAGGAGCTCACGAGCTTCTGCTCGTGAGTTGAGAAGCGAGAGCAAGAAAGAAATGAAAAAAAAAACAAAAACGTCCGGCGTGCCCCTGCTCGTGAGCTCACGAGCTCCTCCTCGTGAGTTTAGCAGCGAAAGCAAGAAAAAAAATTTTAAATATAAAAAACAAAAAAAAAAACAAATAGGGGACTCTGAGATGCCATCCCATCTGTCTTCTTAAAAAAAAAAAAAGCAGAAAACCACACATTTTTCTACTGACATGAATGAAAACGGCACCATCAGCACTACCTATGACCAAAATCGGTATCAAGAAAAAGAAGAAAAAAAGAGTTGGGGGTTCTGAGTTGCCATCCCATCTGTCTTCTTACAAAAAGAAGAAGAAGAAAACCACACATTCTTCTACTGACATGAATGAAAACGGCACCATCAGCACTACCTATGACCAAAATCAGTGTCATCAGTACCACCCGAGCTTCACCCCAATCAACATCATTCACCACATGGAGATGCGGTAATTTTTTCCCCGGTGGGCGCCATACGCTGCCAGTTAAACCTTAATACAACCGAAAACAGATGAACTGTCAAAAGGGCTGCAAACAGCAACACCAAAATTACACCTTAAAAGCGCACTGCTGGTCTCGAGACGTTGGCCGCCTGATGGACCGTCCGGAGAAGAGAATTTGCCTTAAATAAAACTGTGCCGGGTTAAATAAAGAAATAAGAGCCGTTACGGCGCGGAGGGAATTTCTCTGCCGTTTTTCGCGGTTACTGACAACGCCGGCTCCGCTTCATGCGACCAGTTAATGCTTTCGCATTAAAAAAAAGCTAATCTCCCTCTCTATTTTACTTTGTCCTGTATCGAACATAGATTGTTCGTGACGGCACCGCTCGGCAAATTGTTTCTGCACCACGCGCCGCGCCGGCACCCCTAATAGCGAGAAGAACGGAGCTGCAGATAAGCCTAATCGAATTCCCCGTTTGTTCCATCGATTAACCGCGGCGTGTCCCGATGACGTGGCGTCACGCGCCGCTGCGATGTTTGAGCGACGAGTCGGACAACCATTTGCGCTAATTAATAACCCTCGATCGCTTCCGCTAATTGAGGCATTGTTTTTTCGAGGAAGCGCCGGGGCCGTCGCGGAATGTTCCCCTTTTGCTCTTTCTTTTTCCGTCTTTAGTTCCGCTGCTATTACAGTTTTGGAAAGTCGGGCCGTTCGGGTGATAATTAATGTCCACGAAATTGGCACGCACGCGCACTGAGCCATGCACAAACAAGATAATTACGCTACTCTGGGCCCATGCAGCCACCGAATTAAGTTTCCACAAAGTGGGCTGGGGGGTTCTCAACACTGATGAGCGCATGCCTGGGGCGACAGTACTAGGGAATGGATGGCTCGGTACACATTATATGTCAAATCTTCGTTTCTTTTTTTGTTTTTTTTTATGTATTTTCAGTTGCTGTTATTTCCAAGTTTGCATTACGTACGTTACCCACACGCCTGCTTCTACACTCTCAAAAAAGCCCGTGAGTCTGCTTTCCCTCACAACACTCGGAGAGCCAATCACCGCAACTTACGGAGGCAGCTCAGCGAATGACAATGCCGAAACATATGTTTAGACCAAAGAACGCAGTCTGAGTTGTGATATTAAGCACTGCAAGCGTGACGTTTTGCAGTGCTTAATGTCACAGCTCAGACTGCATTTTTTGGTCTAAAAATATGCTTCGGCATCGTCATTCGCTGAGCTGCCTCTGTAAGTTGCGGTGATTGGTTCTCCGAGTGTTGTGAGTGAAAGTAGACGCACAAACATTTTTTTAGAGCGTAAACATATTACTCGATAAATTGCGAGCATCAGTCATTTTCTTACCCACTTCCCCTTCGTATAAAAACGTATTTATGATAAAAAAAAAATATATATATATATATTAGTTTAAATAGACCATTTTCAGATGTCCACCGAGCAGGACTGGCGGCAGCCATATTTTGGGCAGCGCTGCCTGCCCGAAGCGTGTGATTGGCTTCGAGTTCACGCCGAGTGACGTCCTACGCTCGTGTCGAATAGACTCGCACCCGAATATGCGCCGAACCCTGACGCAATGCTCGCGTCCAATGCATGCTCGGAGTACGCTCACAACACATGGCGTCCTCGATGTAACTACACTAAAAAAAATGTCTGTGCATCTAATTTCACGCACAACACTCGGAGAACCAATCAGCGCAACGTGCGGAGGCAGCTCAACGAATCACAATGCGGAAAGGTATGTTTAGACCAAAAAACGCGGTCTGAGTTGTGATATTAAGCAATGCTAAACGTCACGCTTGCATATGTCACAACTTAGACTGCGTTTTTTTGGTGTAAACTTATGTTTCGGCATTGTCATTCGCTGAGCTGCCTCCGTAAGTCACGCTGCTTGGCTCTCCGAGTGCTGTGCGTGGAAGTAGACGTACAGACTTTTTTTAGAGTGTACTAGAGGGTGCGCACTTTTGAGAAGGATCTATAAAGACTCAGACCCCGGAGTGGTCATTTTCATTTCCTCGACAATATAGCTTTTCATTTCTATTCGATGGAACACAAACGCAAATACGAACCTATCGTGTGGGCACTACACTCTGAAGACAAAGAGGGTGGCCTCACACTTTCTGTCCCATATAATACACCCTAAAATTTGAGCCCGACGTACAGCGCACTGACGTCGAACTGACTGCCCCAACGTTTACCAGGGGCTTGATGACGGTGCGATATAGCATATTCAGCAGCTGAAGTATGCATCAAAAACTACAGAAAAAAGCAGTGAGGTTTTGCAGTAGGGCAAAGAGAACCCCGACTACTTTTTTCTTACAGTCAGCTACGCGTACATTAGCTGGTTTAATAAATTGTACTACTTGGCTTTCAAGCCGCTCGTGAAAGTTGATACCGTCTGTTCAGCACCAGTGCGCTGTATGTCCAAATGTAGTTTTTTATATTGAACGAGGGATGTAAGAATATACCATTTTTCTTTCTTAGAGTGTATTGCTATAGTTGTGTACGAAAATATCGATAAAAAATTATATATTCTACGAGGGTTCATTTAAATGCGATAAAGAGAACCCCTCAAAATTATACTCACTCGCAGGCTTTTATCGTTGCGTTGTTCTATAAGAATACTCAACATGACCTCACATGCCTATGCGGTTTTGTGTATATAAATTTAAAATTACATCTACTTTAAAAATAAAATACAACTTTGTACGCCGCTTTCCTTTTTTTTATCCTGCCTCCGTGACGCGCAATTATATGTCGTTTTAAATCGAGCATTATTACGTGCCACGATGGTCTCGGTTTAATGAGGAAGTTTTCGAAGTCTCGATTTGCCCCAAGAAAGTAGGAGTTCAATCAAACACACTATAGGCTCAATTGCTTCACCGATCAAACCGTGACGTCAGAGGTTGCGAGATATATACGTCACGCGTTTTCGCGTTCCTTGCTCTCTGTCGGGTACAAGATCACACGAAACTCTGTTTCACATAAAGTCCGAACGGAACCAATGAAATGAAGCAGAGCCAAAAGTGTATCGTCATGTCGCTCGTCGTCTATGTGCGTTCAGCATCAACGACCAAACCGATCATGTACACTAAATGAAAGTGATCGTGTGCTTTTTTTCTTCGTTTTTTTTTTTTCTCCAGAGCACAAAGACAACACGCGCCACGACGACTTACATTCGCAATACTACTTAATTGCCTCCATCCGTTCGTTCCGTTGGCTGCGGTCGGTCTTAATGTGAAACTACAGGGTGTCTCAAATAGCGGCCATGCTCTTTAAATCGACCGCCAAGATCAGTTTTTTAGCCTATCGCGCTACGATTTTCTGCGACGTTGCCCACACGTGGGGCTTTTTTTCTATAAAATTTGCATAGAGCGAACTTTATTGAGGAAAAAGTAATCAAAGAAAAAGTATTAACTGCTGTCGAAACGCAGCGAAGCCACCGGTCTTCAACAACAATAGGGATCTGTTGGGCACGGGAGACAAGCGATGGCACAAGCGGTCGCGCCGCCAACAGCCGCCAACGAACGAGCATGCGGCGCCGAAAGCCTGCGTCAAATAGCAGACGATATTTTCGACTCAAAAGCGGCGCGAGCGTTTTCCATGTCAGTTGACAATGCATGATTTTATCATCCCTACTAATAAAACAGATTAGACACATAATCGATAAAAGATATGGTTTGTCGGTTTAGCTTGACCGTTTTTTCGTGGTGCTCATGTCGTCTGCTTTGCAGATTCTTGAAGTTACCGCGCCTGTTTTTGGTTCTGCAACTGTTGCCGCTTGCGGAACGCGCGCCGCAAACGGCGCGCGCTCCCAGTCTTTTTTTTTTTATCTTGCGTGTTTAAATAATTAAGCACGCAATGTATGGTCAAGAAACAGCTGTAGAAACTGCTGTGATTGTCCTACAACTGATCGTTTTCTGAAGAGTTTCAAGAGCGATGTGGGAGGGAGGGAATGTCTAGCGTCCACGAAATTGACCCGTGTATTTGTTTAGCAAGAACATCAATAAATCAAAGCGTTTTTGTTTTAGTTTTGCCTATAAGGAAAATTTGTCTGCTTGTGCTCCGTACGAACAAACGCTATTGTTTGCTCCACTAAATGTTGCGGTATGAAATCTTTTTGTAACCTGTTGACATAAACCTGCCTTTCTTACGCCATTGAGGAACGCTGACCCTTATCAAAAAACACTTTATTCGGGTGGTGTATGAGTCGGTTTATCCGTTTAAAATAAGAGCTACATTTCAATTTTAAAATTTAGACACGCTATTGCTAATAATATGATCCCGTAATCCGGCGAATGGTTATTGCGAAGAAGACACTATGTTACCGAGATTTCAGTTGCACGTCAAAATATTTCTAGATAGTCGAAATTAATTTTTAATCTTTCTCTGGGGCGTATACGTCCTTGCCTTCTCAGGTGAAATTCCCCAGATTTGATTTTCGACTCATTTCAAGGTCATGAAACTTTTAGCAGTACTCATAGGTGATTTCATACCCTCTCATCGGTCGATAGAGGTCCCTCTAGAGCAAACTTTGAAAGAAAGTGTTCTAAATGTTTAGGCTATAGGTGGCGTGGGCTACCGCCTCATAAAAGGGTTTCGCCACTTCCAGACATACATTCAACCATTCAGTTACAATATGTCTTCTATCCCGTGCAGCCGACGATCCCGTGGAAGAAGTCGAGGTGGCTGCGGTTCGCTGCCAGCCTGAGCGCATCGAAGACCTCTGCCGGAGCACCAAGTTCACGCGCCAGGAGCTCAAGTTCATGTACCAGGGCTTCAAGCAGGTATGCGCCCATGAACCTTTTGACGCGCCAGCACAGAAACAGTCACGCATGTATGAATATCTACACTATAGCCTATTGCAGGCTAAGAAGAGCAGAACAAGCTTCTTTCGGGATGCCCTCTGCGTTTTCCACCTTAGCGCAGAAAAATCTCCAGAGAAGGCAAGTGCACTCCCTTCACCAGCGTTTGCTCTGCTAAACTGAAGAGTAGAGGGCTTGGTGGGGTGGAGCTTGTTTTGTTTTCCTTAACCTGCATTAGATTTGATCTCAGGTTGAGCTAATATATATGCACATGATCTGTGTGAGTTGCACATGCTTCCTGTGTGTTAGTGCGTTGATGCGTTGATCCGTGCGGGGTGAGCATAACCGAACACTTCATCTGTATGGTATCCCAACGCGATTTGTGTTTCCCGTACCTTGCTAGCATGATCAATCTAGTGTACGTGTTGACCTTATAAACAAACTGTTAGCACTCCTCAAGCGCCAGCTATGCTTATTTCAGTCAGGATATTACGTGTAGGGCTGGGAATCATTAGGTATCAAGTTAAGTTCTCGTTGTGCTTAAATTATGACACCTATTATACTATAGTATTTGAATGGTAATGAGAACATGAACCTATTATGTGTTAAAAAGGGAATCGAAGTGACAGTTCGTAATGTGTCAAATGAATCTATCGATGTCCCCACTCTCTTTGTAAACCTATATGGTTTATCTGACTTTACTCCACGTGTTACGGTCAAACGTGGGGTCGGTCGTGACGGTCGAGCATCACAGTATTTATATTCTAATAAAAAATAAACCTATTATGTGTTAAAAGGGGCATCGAATTGACAGTTCGTAATGTGTCACGTGAATCTACCGATGCTCCCACTTTCTATAACATAGATCAGGGGTTCTCAACTGGGGGTCCGCGGGCCCTTCAGGGTTCGCGAAGGCATTCTAGTGGTCCTCGAAACTCTGTGTTATCAGTCAGGCCCAGCAAGAAATGTATTGTAAAAGCTTGGTCTGCTGAGCAAGTTGGTAGTGGACATTCATATTAAAAAAGCCGTTTACAAATCCCTGTAACGCCGAATTGGAGCGCAGCTCTTGAGGAGGAGGAGTGAAGGGTACTGAGGGGAGGGTAGACCCCTCCTCCTCCCCTCATTCTTTAATATGCTCCGGGGGGGCGGTCACGTGACCTCGGGGGGGGGGGGGGTGTCACGTGACTTCGGGGAGGGGGGTCACGTGACCTCAGAGGGGTCACGTGACCTCAGAGGGGTCACGTGACCTGGGGGTCACCTTGGGGTCACGTGACCTGGGGGTCACCTTGGGGTCACGTGACCTTGAGATGACCTTGGGAGGCGTCACGTGACCTTGGGGTCACGTGACCTTGGGGAGGAGACCACGTGACCTCGGGGGTCACGTGACCTCAGAGGGGTCACGTGACGGGGGTCACGTGACCTTTAAAGGGTCACGTGGGGTCTTGGGGTCACGTGACCTTGAGATGACCTTGGGAGGGGTCACGTGACCTCGAGGTGTCACGTGACCTTGGGAGTCACGTGGGGTCACGTGACCTTGAGATGACCTTGGGAGGGGTCACGTGACCTGGAGGGGTCACGTGACCTGGAGGGGTCACGTGACCTCGGGGGTCACGTGACCTTGGGATGACCTTGGTTACGCCGACGGCGACGCCGACGGCGACGGCGACGGCGACGCCGCTCAAGCCGGGAACGTGCCCCTAAGAGCTGCGCTCTAAAATAGCGCAAAAGAGACGGGACAAAAAGACGAAGAAGCACACAGGACAAGCGTTTGTCCTTTGTGCTTCTTCGTCTTTTTGTCCCGTCTCTTTTGCGCTATTTTTAATATGAATGCCCAGCAAGAAAAGTTGCCCTTTTTCAGATTGAGAAGAAACGTTCCAATATTCGGGTGAGTTTTCTTGTGTGTATGTCAATGAGAGAACTCTGCTTCAAATTGACCCTTCCTTATATCCATTCATGTCATAATTATCATAATTAAACCATATCTTTCCCTTCTCACCACGGACAGGGTCCTTCTTCATCTCCGCCTATCCACAAGGGGTCCGCGAAACATCAATAGTTGAGAACCGCTGACGTATATTACAATTCCTCAACAAGAAATGAGGCACAGGAGTAGGTGAAAAGTTTGTGTCCAGACACAATAGTCATTCCGCTAGATTTGCTCTTCAGTGACCTAAAGGCATTACTTTCAACCCGTTTTAAAAACTGTGGTTCTAAAAATAACTCACCATATTGAAATATATAAACAAGAAGGATTAAAAAGCTAAAACTTATCGTTTTCTTTTAGATTTCAAAAATGGCCAATTAAAAAGAGCCACTGAAAATTACGGATACAAAGCAAAGTGCTGTTTAAGACGAAGGTTATTTTAGAAGCAACATCTATTTAAATATGGTTTTATACTCGAAGCATTCGAAGTGCTGTCAAGCAGTGTGTCTTAGAGTGGGTAATTTTGTAAGCCTTTTGAAAAAAGAAATTAGATAATAGATAGAGGGAAATATTTCATATACACTTTCGATGTCTTTCCTCGTATTATATTGTTACTTTCTCGATTTGCACATATATAGGAAACACACCCGAAGTAAAAGCATGGGTGTAAATATGCCTACTAATAGGCTAAAGGATGTCGGTAACGAGTTTCACGGATTCTTTGACCAGAGTCTGATTGTTTTTGCCCAAAGTTGGCAAACAAATGGGAGCGTTAGATTTCATAGCCTGGTTGTTCGTTCGTCATCCGGCGCTTTTAGGCCTCAGTTCCTGGGGAAATGCCAGAATGAAATTTCATTTCTGGTTGTTAGGTTTTCACCTGGCAACTTAGTTACTAGATTGCAAACCAGTGCCAGATTTAGGCTTCAGTACCGGTTCTTCGGTTACTACGTGGCATGTTTGGCTCATGTCTGGCACTTTCGCAATTATGTAGCGAACCAGAAAAAAATGCATAAAAGAGCCAAAGAAGGGTACATTGGCAAGAACTAAAGATTTGGAGAGACCTTATTCGACCAGGCATCTAAGATCGCCAGACTTGGACCAACTTAGGCGTTTCTCTGCCATGCTGCCTGGTGGACTGACTAATTGCTAGGCAGGGGTGGCCAAGCAGCGGCTCGCGAGCCGCATGTGGCTCTTCGTGTGTTAAAGTGCGGCTCGCGGCTCCCTCCCCTCCCCCCCCCCTCCCCTGCCACCCTCCCAGTCAAAAGGGCACCTCCCCGAAAAGCGAAATGAAATGCGCTTTCAATCGAAAGAAAGATAGCGGTTTGGTAGCCTTGTGCTACTGCTACCTTACGTACAATTGGACTGCTTTTGACTCTGATAGAATGAAAGTAGTACGAGTTTCGTTTACAGCTCTAGACCAAAGTTTCCCCCCCCCTCCCCCCCCCCCCCCCCCCCACGGCTCTTGTAAGTTTCGTGGTTTCCTGGTCAGCCTGGCCACCCCTTGGCTAGATAGATATGAAAGCTAAATTAAAGGATTAAAATACACAATACACATAACGTTCTGCAAATACCCAGAGTTAAATATATATATATATATATATATATATATATATTATTAACACTTTATATCAAATATATACCGCCTTTGATTATAAGTATCATTGCATGGGGCACGTACTAAATTAAAAACGCAAGGTAAAATGTACCTTTCAATAGTACTTATCAGTTGAAACTTATCTCTTAAACCTTCCGCTTTTTCCAGGTTTGTCCAACAGGTCTGGTCCACGAGAACACCTTCCGAGATATCTACGCACAATTTTTCCCCGCAAGGAGGTAAGAAATCTTTATTTTTTCAACGCTGCGAAGCTCCGTTTATAGGTGTATTGAGGTCAGTGGTTGTTTTCCCGACCTAATTTGGCCCTGGCTGAAACAATATTTGCGAGTGAGAGATGTGGGAAGCATGCTCCATAATTTAAATAATTTAGGCATGATCACCAAGGTGTCACCTCTAACACTAACCATTTAAAAAATTAGCGCGCTGAAGAGGATTCTCATTTACAAAGATTTATGAAAAGTAGTTATTTCTCTAAAATGTTACCATTAGTGATTTGATACGGACTCCGCAATCCTCAACCCCAACGGCTTGCAACTAGTCCCTTTTTCACAGTTTCAGTCGATAGATTTTCGAAATGCTGTGTTTGCTTTGTTCAATATTTTCTCAAATTAAAAATAAAGATCAATAATATTCTTGCATAATAAAGTGCTCTACATATTCATTTAGTCTTGTTCTCATACACTCAAATGTAGTTCTGAAGCTCAAGTTGAGAGTCTGGCATTTTCGGGTTTTCCAATGGAAATGCTGACTGAGGTAGTAAGAACATTCGTCAAGAAAGTGAAACGAGTTCAAAAACCTAGGCGCACTTTTGACAAAAACGAGTTTTGTGGTCCCGTATGTGCAGAATTTCGAACAATCTTAAGAAGGTGGCCCGCCGGTATGGGGTTCCTTTAGTGATGTCAGCCACCGCCCTCCCCCCCTTCCCCCCCCCCCCCCCCCCCAAAAAAAAAAGAATGGCTCAAATTTGTCAAAACGTTTATGCTAAGGTAAACAATTAAAAAAAAAACATGTGTGCTAAAAGAACCACTCCTACCCTTATGTGTCAGGCTCTCTCAGTGTAGTATAATTCTATCCCCCTTTCTTGTGGTAGAAGATATGTTGAACAGACCGGGCGGTGTGTAAATGACCGGCTCCGAGAAGACAATCTCTCTAAATTCAACAGTGAGCGGCCATCCACCCCACCACTGTAAATCCTGTATCTGTACGTCATCCTTAGCAAAAACCAAAAAAATTGGGCAGGTACTGGGAAGAACACACAAGAGATATATTTGAAGCTATAATTATCCTAAGCATGGGCGAGCGATGTGTCAGCTTTCCGTCTGTTTCATTAACAGAGGAGGAAATGACCTTTATAAAATATCCTTCATGTGGGTACGTTTACGTGTCCCCCTCGAGCTTGAGGGCCCTAGAGCCTGTGGTCCCTCGTGCCTATGTGCAACTGTAACCATGTTCAATCTATACTAACTCGCTGAACTGTCTACATAACTACATTCAAAAGAACGCGACTTAATCAAATTATATTGTTTCGGCCGGTTTTAACGTTGGCACCCATGCCATCGGCAATGCGAACTGTCCCACAACGAAACTTTAAAACAAGTTCTGCTTAAAAAAAAACAAAAAAAACATTGATAGTTTTAATACTCAAACCTCCTTGACGCAGCAGTTGAAGCTCATCTTGTTCTTATCGCATACAGCCACACCACCCCGCGGCTGCACGAAGCGGAGTAGTGAAGGAAGTAATATAGGAATTTCACACTCTCTCCTCCTCCTACCCCCCCCCCCCAACAGACACACACGCTTATAAAATTTACAAATTTATAAATTTCACTTTTACAAAAACACAACCCTGCCTCCTTCTAATATCCTAGTTACACGGGCGCATGTAATTCCAATTACGCTTAACCACACTCGCCACACAGTACTCCTGGACATTTTCCGTGACAGTAGTAATGTCTTTAAGCGCACGTGCGCTGGGTCATCTTGTGCGTTCATCAAATGTGTGCAGGTGCACTCTTTTCCTCGTCTGAAATATCTGTCCGAGAGTCTAGTGTGTCAACTGAGGCGAAGTATAACTGCAGTTAATGGTGACTTAACTGCGGTTAAGGGCGTACGCGTAACAAGTATATTTGAGCACAAACACTCTCGTCAAAAGTTCAAACCAGAACGGTGGCTTAGTTATGAGCCAGATGGGCAAGCAGACATTGAGATGTTTGAGTTTCTTTACCTTTGGTTGTCTCCTCGTCTGCGGTTCAAGTTATGGGCACAATGGCCCGTTTTCCTGAGCGAACCTTGACAAGAAAAGCGGTACCACCTCTCTTTTCAATGATCGGATATTTGAATAGAAACGGGAGTGAACTCTTCTTGGGACCTCTAACCCTATGCTCTGACCAAACCTAGCAATAAAATGCACTGTTTTATTTTTCTTCTGAAAATGTGACATTACATTCAGGATTATTCGGATAAGTCCAAATTGACAGAAATTTATCGCCGAGTGTTTTTCGGAGTTTTCTCTGATTTATCCAAAAACACGCTGCCCTACCTATATACCAATTCACTTCCCACGCAAAATTTAGCTGGAAAGTTAATAAAAATGTGAGTTTTTTACTCCCCAATACACCTTGTTAGGATCTTCTAAAGAAACCTGAACGATCGCTCCTTAAAACTTAAAGGAAGATTCATTGGCGGATCCTTAGAGTATGCGTTAGCATGGCTCTCAGTGTTAGCGTTTCCTAAGCAGGGACGTGTGTAGCGTTTCCCAAGGGGTACGCTAACAGATTTCCTAAGAATCCACCAATGGATCTTCCTTTATTTTTTTTTTGGCAAAGCGGGCTTGTTAAGCACGCTTCGGCCGCAGCCTCTGTGGCTCGCAGCCCCGCGTCGGCTTGCCGCCTTTTGCGCCGCCTTTTACGCCGCATTTCGTCCAGCCGAGCTGGACGCTGCTTCCGCTCCTCTGTCTCGTTCGCCAGCCTCGCACGCTTCGCAGCGGCATCAGCTGCCTGGCGCTATTTTCGCTGTTCACCGGTTTCCCGCGCTCGCATTGGCTTCCGCCCCGTGACGTCGCCTCCCTCTCACCTTTGCCCTTCACTCCTCTCCTCCTCTCTACGCGAGGCTCTTCTTCTTCCATTGTTTCGTCCGCAGATGGACGGCGTCAGCTTTGCCTTGCAATGTAGGTACTAGTCCAAAGTCATTAATAAATCCTGCCAGTCGACTTAAGAAACAAAAATCGCTGCCATTTGTTTTTTTAGAGTATCTGATGTTGTTTTTTTTACGGTTCTTGTAACGCATCCTACATATCTGTATACATTTCATCCCTGTATTTACCCTTTCTGTGAACGTCCCTTTCCAATTAATTTTATTCTTAATGTGGCAGGCAAGGCAGAGCCATTTTTCCCATATTTAGTCTTATTAAAAGTGTTCGGCGGGAGAGGGTTCAATATCAAAATATTTTTCTAGGTAATACATCTTACTGCTCGATAATTCAAAGGCTTCGTAGTCGATAGGTTTTGCGTAGTTGGAACGGCTGGAAACGCACGGCCTCGAGGTTTCCCCTTTGATTGGGATGGCTGCCACCCTCTACCGTCGTGGAAATCTTTCGACAAGAAAGAGGCCACCGTCGTTGCTGTCTTGGCGGATCGGGTGTCTCGGTGCGTCGGCAGCAGCCTTCCTCGGTAGCGCAGAGCGATGCGCATGTTGTATGACCTCTTACACCACTAGGGGAGCTTATGGTGCTGTGGACGCCTTGTCTACAGAGCCGTATATGGTAAAGAGAGTCTATTCCATGGGTGGAGTCAGAGGGAGCCGGGGCGGAGCGGTGAAAGTGGCGCCGCCGAAAGCGCCGGATATCCCCCCCCCCCCCCTTCTCCCTGTGATTATCCTGCGAAGTAAAAATAACCCAAGATAACATTGAAGGAGACGCGTACCACGATGCACGAATCTTTTTTTTTTTTTTTTTTTTAATACGCTGAAGGTACAGAGCGCGAACAAGCGACCGCCGGTTTTTCCAGTTTGTCTCTTCGAAACCAAGGAATGTCATCCAAATTATTATTGCTACGGAAAGAGCTCATTTAGTTCTATAATATAAGTGATAAAATGTCGTGCTCGCTAATACTGTTTAAAAGTAAAATGCGAAAAGGCGCCGACGTCGTGTTCGCGCTAACAGTGTCGCGATGTGTACATGAAGTGATAATGTTGAGAGATTGATAGAAATAGGGGATTTCAAGGTGTTGAGCGCGTTTACTGAGCCAAAAAGGGTGACAGTTAAGAGAACTGCTTCCTCAAATCTGAGGCGGAACTGCGAACATCGGGCTGAGACATAATCTTGACCGAGTGGAGTCCACGTTTTTTAACGTCCACTTGGTCGTGGCCGCTAAAATTGAGCCGTGACGGCAACGCCAACTGCGTTGTCCTTTTAGTTACGAAGAGCCGCGAACTTCAACACTAGAGGGCTGAAATGAAACACCCGAATACATACTTACTTACGAATTGTGACTGGAGGGCATACGTTAAGCCCACTGCCTTCTCCAGGGGATTATTCTTGGCTAGTGGTTCGTCCCAAGAGCTGTCAATCAACCCGCCCAATGTCGTTGAAACAATTTAGGCCAATAGCGGGCCCTTATTTTTGTCCAATTTTTACCAATTAATGACCAAACTATATGTCTGTGCCTCTCTAGTTCAAGTAGGCACACTGGGATTTATTGTCCTGGTCAAGTATTTGGACAAGGTTTCGCTACCTTCATACCCTCTGACTGGGTTGGAGTCACTAGCCATCACCTCCCGAATAGCATGGCAGCAGTGCCGAATTATGGGCATCACCTACAAGAGGTTTGACAGAACTGCTTTGTCACCGTTCGACTCGGACTCGTGTGTTCCCTCTTCTAACACAATTCTCACTGGAACACGATTCTACGTTTCTGTCTGGGACAATATATCGTTCATCCGATGTAGTACGCTCGCCTGTTCATTATCACGAGGACATGTTCTACTAATCACACGTTTTTCCGGTCACAATTTTGAAAAAATCTCGTAGAGTTAGTCAAGAGTCCAATTTTGATACCCTAATTCACGCGTTTTCATATACGTCATACCGTTGAAATTACACTGGGAGAGAGAGGACAGGGGGCCAAGGCTCAAGTTGACATGCCTCAATGATTCACACACTAGCATTTAGTCAGCTCCCAGATTCGCTTGCGTTGATCGGTTAAGCAAATGTGGGAGCAGGCTAAAGGCTAACGCGTGGACCGCTGAGGAATGATTACCTAAACCTCGCCCCCCCCCCCCTTTCCTTTTTTTCTTTCTTGCCCTGTAAACAAGTCGTCGTGACGTCTACAAAAACTCGCAAATCACAGTGCCGAAATTGCCCTATTGACTTGCTCGACAAGGTTTTACCACTACGCTTCACTCACGTGTGTCTCTTTCCGTTGCAGATGTAAGCCAGTACGCGCACTACCTTTTCCAGGCGTTCGACCAGGACCATAACGGTACAATAACCTTCCAGGTTAATACAATGCCTGTTATATCTTCTCTCTCTCGGGAACCTCTGTTGCTGTTTTTGTGGTTCGCGTCAAAGAGTCCTGTCGCGCGCACGCGCCAGGCTCAATAGCACCGAGCTAGATTTATGGAGGGGGTGTTGTTCGGACGTCGGGGACTTTACCGCGCCGTTCTGTCGATCCCACGTTGCCAAGCCCTTTAGCCACACAATGGACCCAAAATGGGCTTATTTTTATATGTATCTCACTATGGTTGACATCAATATATATTTTTTTTTAAATTACAATAGCGATGTTTCACCCGTAAAGAAATTTTAGGTAAAAGTAGTAAAAAAAAACACCTTCCTAAAGCAGCGTTCTCGGCGCGACGAAACACACGAAACGGAACAAACATAACGAAATACACGCAAATCTATGTAAGCTTACTTCACCTCCCAAACAACTTTTTATACTTTGCACGTTTCATCTTAGTCAGGACACTACCAACGCCACCGAGCCGGGCCTATCAAGCTTCATAGAAAACTTTTAGATAATGGCATTTTCCTACTGGTTGTATTGCTTTGATACCGCCCACTGATCTAATGAAGCCCGCAGAACGCGTCATGACAAACCGTTTTTAGTTTGTGCGCTTGTGTTTGCGTGGAAACTACCTTTTTTTTGCCCCTTTCGAACTTAAGACGAAACGTACGATTGCATCCTCTTGGAATGGCCAGAATCCCGGTACAATACTCGTTGAATATGCGATAGTGGGATTCAATGCTGTTCGCGTTACTGAGAAAGCAGGCAAAAGTTTGCAAAATAATGCGAAGGAGTAACTAGAATTAACTAGACTTTAAATTGTAGGTTACATTACATTCGTACCAGGATTAATTTATGATTCCTGAACATTTTAGTGAAAAACCCGAGACTTAGGCAAAGACAGACGACGACAGGGAAGAGAAGGAGAACGTCTCAAACACAGCCAAAACTTTAGTTTTGTGGAGAGACGTGGTGTCGTGTCTTTCGTGGAGAGAGGTGATGTGAAGAAGGTTTCCCTTTCTTTCCTTCTTTTTCAACCCTATATAAAGGGTTCTTTCCTCAATAAAGGTTTAGCTGCGTTTCAGACGTTCTCCTTCTCTTCCTTGTCGTCGTCTGTCTTTACATCAGTCTTTGGTTTTTCACTAAAATGTTTAATATACACCAGCTCACCTGCGCCCTTACGTTCTGATTATGATACCTGATGAGCTTTTTACTCTACTTTGACATTAAAATATGTCATACCGACCATGTAAACGTAATACCAAAAAGTGAACGATCTCCACCGTATTAAATTAAGGGTTCCGCTACTTCGGGATTTTTTTTTTCCAAGTTGGTTTTTTTTTCACTTTTTTTCTACCGATTCGGCGCACAAAGAAATCAGTGGTTATTGCAGGTTACTTTTAAAAATATAAGAAAGGACACAGGCTTTATATTCCCTAACCTGCACGTAACGTGCCTGGACTACCTGAAAAACGTCCCGGTACCGATATAAGAGAGAAACAAGACAAGGGTGGTGGTTCCCGCAGAAAGAATTTACACTGGCAGACAGCTCCGGGTGGGAGGTGCCTAGTTCAACACAAAAGTGCCCTAGATAAAGATTTTTTCTCAAGTGGCTTGGTTTGTTTTTATTAAAGGAAAACTCTTATTCGGGTTTTTTGTTGTTTTTTTTTTCATTAATTTTGTTGGAAGGGATTGTGGGTTTACTTTTCGGTGTTCATCGGTACATACAATAAACACATAACCGTAAATACAATCGGGGAGAAGGCAGCAGCGACTATGAGGCACCGTTTGCGCAATCCAACAAACGGCCAGGATAACTCGTAAAGCCTTCGCGCATGCGAAACGTATTTCGTAAGAGTTTTGATTCCTGCAGAACCGGTTTGTGCCTTTGCTCCAGATTCGGCGAGCTATTTACGATAGCCGCGTGAGAGAGCACTGAGTGTCTCGGTGGTCGCTCCGGTATGTAAAACTATTATGCGCAGTGGTAGCGCTTAGTATGGTCTTCAGAACAAGTTCAGTAGATGATAAGCGCTGAATATTCCCACCGTCCAGACATGTTCACGTTACCCCAAAAATGTAGCTAAATACCTTTACTGGTTGCTCGTTCAAAAAGTAATAAATACGTTACTCGTTACCGGTTCTCACTAGAAACGCGTTAGTTTACCTCAAATGCAAAGAGTTACTTTTGTCGTTACTTCGAAAACCAAACACAAAACAGCTTCTTTCGGGGTTTATTGTTTTCTTTTCAATAGTCGTTGCACTTAAGCAGTAGCTGCATCTTGAAGTTTCATTGGTTAGGTTTCCCAGCTTCCTTGAGAATACATTTACGGCGACGCCGAAGAGTCGTTGTAGTGACGTGCTCGAAGGAACGGCAGTGATGTGCTTCAGGAAGAGCTGATGACTCTAGGATTTCCTCTCTCTCTCTTGTTCTCTCTGCTTCTGATCTTTCAAATTTAGAATAAGTTCTCTGCCTTCTCGCGTTGGCAACTGGGTATACATTTGGTCTGCGCACGTTTCTATAAAGTTAAACCAATGATCCTTACTGTGTTCTTTGGCTGAAGGACATTCCCAGCTGTAGAGTTCAACTGGCGTATACAGCGATAAACGTTGCTGTACTGTTTTACAGTTTAGTTTTTTTTTTTTTTTTTTTAGGCTGCTTATCTGCTTTTGCCGCAATAGACGCACAATAAGTTTAAAATTAAAACGAGGCTGACAAAACGGTCCTCTACACACACGCTACTGCTCAAAAGTAACAAAATATCGTTGCTCGTTACTTCCACTTATAATTAGCTAAGAACGTTAATCCTTCTTTTACCAAAAAAGTAACTAAATTTATTAGTCGTTGCCTAAAAAGGTAACTAGGTGTAAGCAACTTGTTACTTGTGACGCGTCACGTACATGTCTGCCATCGTCAATGATAAGATCTGACAGTGTGGCATTTCTCAACTGGCGAGGAAAAAAATAAATGGTGACAAAACGTTGTTAATGTGACATTTCTATTTGTTTGAAAATCTGCGACACATAACATTATATAATACCACAGTGCATCGGTTAATCATTAAGGGGCACCCTGGCTTATTGGTACTAATATCACTGAGGTATTCGAATTAGAGCAGCGCGTGGCGCCTTCCTTTCAACGCGGGCCTTCTTCCAATTGTTCCGCTTTTGACGCGTATTTTTGTATATCCCTGGCTGACTATGGGCGTGATTCAGGTTCTGTGAAAGTAGAACTGGCATTACAAGATGAGTTAAAATACCGGGGACAGTGTGCAGGCACGTGCCCTGAAGTATCACTGCGCAGTTGCGCAGATATGTCTCACAATGATCTCAAAAAGCTCGCATCAGACGCAATTCTTTTGTCACGTGATGCAGCTTTGATGTAGAAGATCCCCCACCGCACATTTGTGGCAGCTGGAACGCCATAACTGTGGATCCTGTGTTGACAAAATGTAGCTATAAATACTAGACTGGCTATATTTTCTGCTGCTATTCATTCGAATTCTGTAGATGATTGCATTGTATGTAGCATGTTTCTGACACGCTCGAAGTAAAGCAGGGTCACCTCGAGCGCACGTAAGGGAAGCAGCGAGCCATATATTAGCAGTTTGTGTTGAGGCCTTCAGGTTCGCTTTAATCATTGATTTTTGTTGTGTGCAAGTATCTGCCTGTAGCCGATGCTTAAGAATTACGCATTACAATGTGCTAAGAACCGAACATTGTAAGGTTTGTCGTCGCGTGCTAGGCAGATACTGAGAGCCCGTGAAGGGTGGTTCACACGTTTGAGTATAACTTTGACTGAGTCAACCGAGTGCATTTTGATCTTTTGTAAGTGATAAGGGCGCTATCAAATTGGCGCAACCTATGGGATAGCCCTGGAAAACTTGTGACCGGCATATTTATATTTTTCCTTTTTATGCATCACATTAGGATCGTGGTCTTTAAATAGTTATAGCATTTTTTAAGCTAGAATTCCTTGTCAATACTGAGTAGATTTGATCTCGCCAATACTGCAAGAAACTTCAAACTACTATAGACAGTTTGGAAGTGTTTCAGGCCTACTCAATGTCTTGCGTCAGCTTGCCGGTGTGCGTAGGCTATCGGACTGGTGGCATAACTCAGGGAAAAATGAAATTTCCGCATCTTTTTCTTTGATTCTGTAAAGGGGAAAATCCGCGCACCAGGTTGCCACGAGGCAAAACTGTAACACCGATCCTAACTTTTAGTTAAGGAGCATAATCAGCTAATTCCCGCACTGGACAGCGTTATGGGATTTTGTATCATGCTGCATTATTTCTGAATTTAAAAAAAAAATATTCTGCTTAAAGGCTTAACCATATTTTTTTAGAGCGCATGTCTTAGGCGCCCGTTTCCGGCTTCAGCGGCGTTGGCGTCGCAGTCGCCGTCGCCGTCGGCGTAACCGCGCGGTGCATTATGGAACGCGTGACGTTATTGATGACGGCATCGGAATCCGCATCGTTATCGCCACTGATGACGTCATCGGTGACGTCATGATGACGTCATCGGCATCCGCATTGTCATTGTCATCATCACTGATGACGTCACTGATGACGTCATCAGTGACGATGCCGATGCCGATTTTTTTTAAACTAGAGATCCGTTATTTTTTTTTTTCATTAAAATCTCCGAATAAGCGGCGCAAGCCACCGCCCGTTTAAGCGGAATCAACCGTATTCATCCATCCATTATCACTTGATTATAGGCGATCACAGCGCATATTTCCGGTCACAGTCTAACACAAATACGCGAACCAGCCTTGAGCGTCGCTCCACGTTCGTGTGCGCTCCTACCCGGGGTATACTTGCATGGGAGCATGCCTGCTGTTTGCACGTTTGTTGCTAATACTAGTAGCCCAATTCGGACACGGCGTACGCATGACCTCGCTGCAGGACTTTGTGGTTGGCCTGTCGGCGCTCTCCCGCGGTGCCCCCGTGGACAAGCTCCGCTGGGCGTTTCAGCTTTACGACCTGAACAAGGACGGCATCATCTCGAGGGACGAGATGCTCGACATCATCGTGTCCATCCACAGCCTAGTCGGAAACAGCGGCTCGGCTTCCGGGGGAGACGACGATGACCCCGACTCGGTCCGGGATCACGCCAACAGGGTCTTCCAGGTATGCACCCTTTTTCTTTTGACCTCGTCCCCTGACAACACCACCTATACTTTCATAGTAACCCTGAAATGTAGGAATAACTTTAAAAAAACGGGCAGAACAAAGGCAACTTGAAAATTATTACACAGCCATCGTCTTATATACATGTCCCAGACCTTTTTCAGAATTCAAACGACCGCCTCACCCACTACACGGTGTAGCCCAACTTCCAATCTATATTGACAACCACAGACAACCCCGAATCACAAAACCATGCACGCCCCAAGCATAAAAGGACTCAAACCCAAATACACAAAAAAGTAATAAATAAATAAAAACACTCAAGAGCATTGCGACAAATTCACGCACTTGACAAGGTCAGCCTGTGAACCCGGCAACAAGTATCAACTCTTCTGTTTCTTTAACAAGAGTCAAGGGGGTTATCCGACAGAAAAAGCACAAAGCACAACACCGAAAAAAATAGAAAAATCCCAACCGTAAAACCTTTGACTTACCTGTAAAAAAAGAAAATAGAAACGTTTTTGTTTTTAGTACCCGGAAACTTGGAACACCGCAAACTCGCACACATCGTAGCGATTCTAAGGGCAGGAACACCCCCAACAGAAATACGTCATATCGGCCAGTAGCACTTATATCATGTGAAGGCACGCTCTTTCAAAGACTGGTCCAAGTGAGACTGAGCTGGTATCTGGAAGAGCATCACGTCCTTCCAACGTGTATGACGGGGTTCAGGAAGGGACTAACAGCACAGGACAGCATCTTGGACCCTACCAGCGACCTCGAAAAGAAAAAGAACAATAGGTGGAACACAATAGTGACGTTTTTGGACGTACGAAAAGCGCGCGACTGTGTCCAGAGATCGACCGTTCTGAAGAGGCTTGCAGAAGTTAGACTCACAGGCAGGATTCAGGGTTTAATGGAGAGCTTTCTCTCGGGCTGAGTCATCCAAGTAAAGGCTGGCAACACCACGTCTATCCCAAGAACCCTACACAAAGGACTATCACAATGGAGTGTACTTAGCCCCGTATCGTTCAACATTGTAATGGCTCGGCTCCCAGAGGTGATTCCCAGAGCAACACTGCCGGTGCATGTATCTATTTATGCAGAGGACCTGTGACTGTGCACAGCAGGAATCTGCACAAGGCAGGTCACCCGCAGCATTCAAGAAGCAATCCGCGCGGTGGAGGGCTATATAGTGAAATCCGGTCTCTCAGTATTTAAGGAAAAAGCAGTCTCAATGGCAGTACGCGGAAATGGGAGGCGATTCTTCTCAGGTGACGTAATTCTGGCGAGAAGGCCAATCAAACGAGTGCCAAAGCAACGGTTCCTAGGAGTTACTATTCAGAAACGGCTTCAGTGAGCCCAAGCCACAAAGGGGGTGCTTTGATGCCTGTCGGCCCGCAGTAAATGCAATCCGCAGGCTGACTGGAACGTCCTGAGGAGGCTCGGGTGAAGCCATCCTTACGGTGAACGAAGCCCTGCTGACATCAAGGGCGCTATTCAGGCTGCCCTACGTGACACCATCGCAGTCAGATGTACAAAAGCTCGAAGCCATGCACAGGTGGGTAGTGCGGACGGCACTGGGAGTCTCAGGAATAGTGGGGAACGAAGCGGTCCTCAGCGAGGCGGCGGCGATGCCTCTGATGAGACAGGCCGGCAGAGTACGACTCCTCCAGATGGCGAGACTAGCGACTGCAACATCAGGAAGGTGGTTTTTGAACAAATTTAGAATCCAAAAAAAGACCTCGTGGAACAGTACAATAGAAGAATTTACAAAGTCACCTTTGCCACTACACCAGGTGACAAGTCAAGCAAGCGTAGCACCCTGGGACATCGTCAGAGGGGACTGCAACACAATTGTCAAGTACGTGAGGTCAAAATAGACGAAGCGATAGTTAGGGCCGTGGTCTAGAATCACTTGAAAAAAAATGCTCGGATAAGCTGCAGGTGTACACAAACAAAAGTGTCAAAAGGGCAAGAACATCAAGTATAGTAGCCGTGTACATTCCTAAGATTGGTCTAGAGTGGAACGGAAAGCTCTCGGCACCAGCGTCGTCCACTACAACGGAGCTGGTTGAAATTGAAAGAGCATTACGTATCGTCGTGAAGTTACCGCCACACCAAATGGTAGTCGTCAAAGACCCCAGAGCGGCGCTGCAGATGAGAATGAACACCCCACAAGGAGATCCAATCACCACAGCAGCAAGACCAGCACTTGGGGACTTGGGAGAACACAGAACTGAGACACGGTTGCAATGGATTCCAGAGCACGTAGGAATAGCAGGAAATTAAAAGTCTGACGAACTGGCAATGGCTGATCATGGGGAGGCTCCAACCATTCCAACGCTGCCGGACCTGAGACAGGCAGCACAGTGTATGGAATTACACCTTTTCAAAGGGGAAGATGAACCGGCGATACCAAAAGGTGCGCTTGCAGGACTGACACGGACAGAAACTAACCTGCTCCGGCACCTGCGTACGGCGACGACCATCGCAAACAACTACCTGCAGAAAATGAAAAGACGGCGAAGCTCGGAGTGCCACAATTGCCCAGTCGTTGAAATACTGCAGCACGTCATAACAGAGTTTACCGCATGTGACAGAAGCCGCGAAACTATGTATGGCCAGCTGACCATCGGAAGCGAAAAAACGATGGATGAGCTGCTGTTTCCGCAAGGCGCAAAAAGAGAATGCCGAAATGTTTTTAAGGTTCTCCTACAGTTTCTCCGTAATATGGGACTCGCGGCGCGACTCTAGACAAGAGCAAGATGAACAGACCTGGGGTCAAGCTGGTCCAGGGAGATGGCCTACAAATAGCCTTTTTTAGGGCTCGTTTCCTGCCTACACCAGCTCAAATTGTTAGACTAGCCTAGGGGACGTTACACCAAACAAAATATCACCACCACCATAAATTTCAAGCTGCGATAGATTGTTCTTTTGTCTGTTTTTTTATGATTCCTACGTCTCAGGATTACTATCGATGTCATTCACCAGCTCGCCTGTGTTTTTAGCTTTCTTCACCTATACTCCGTATCACCGTACGCAACTTGGCAAGTGGCGAAGGCTACGTGGTCCTATAGAGCCAATCAACGCGTAGGACACAGATGCGCTGCTATACTCTCCCTCATTAGTTGCGTACAGTGCTGTCCAAGACAAAAGCGGGAGAAAGAGGAAAACAACTTTTGTACGCGATGGGAGCAACGGACTAATATCCTAGAGGAAGAAAAGTGACTTACGGGACACACAAAAGAGAGACCGAGTAATAGGGCGGTTCCTCATTCCCCACCTTTCTAACTGCTTCGGTTACGCTCTAGTCCATGTACCTTTCGTAACGGATATCACGTAGTTCGCGTTCGTCACTAGGTTCGACTCGAAGGCGCCGTAGCGTTCTTTCTTGGCATAGTTTCGGTAAAACCATGTGTTTAATAATCAAAGCCACTGAACAACCTGATCTAACTCCCCGTAATGTCATAATACAAGGATGGTGTCGCCACGGCAATCGGGCCGAAAGCTTCACTCGACACGAGGCTCAACCGTACGCTGACGTAGCGCTCGTGACCAGTCTGTTCCTGCTCTCGACCTCTCTGTCAATACATTCAAATGCTGGTTCTTTGGCTTTGAATTTTCTAGACAGTGTGGCCCAGCCACGCAGTTCTGATACCCGATACGGAGAATGGAACTAAAAAAAGTCTTTGTATCCTGAAACGAGCAACCAAATATAAAAGGGACAAACCAAAAATAGGTGACAGTCGCAATAACGCTTTTTTATGAGATTTATACGCATGGGCAAGCCCTCCCCACGCAGCGGTGAAGGGTCGAACCACGATTGGTTTACGAAATGGTCTTGCGCTACCTTTCCTGCGGCTGAAAGAAAAAGTGTAAACGCTTACGAAGCCTAAAAGGTGAAACACAACGACAGCCGAGGTGTGACGTTGAAGCCGCTGAGCTGTCATTTCGGAGCAGATGAACTGAAATAACGCTAAAGGTTTCAACACCAAAGAGTTCATATATGCGTTCCGTACTAAACCCAGCAACAGGCCAGACGAAAATTCCATAGTGTTTTGGAACCAATGAGGGTGTATTAAGTAAAGGGCGTCTCTGTTGTCTACGTAAGAGTGGAGCCACTTTTCGTACGTCGCTTCGATACAAATATTCACACGTGCTAAACGAAAGGCGGTGAATAAACAGGAACAAGAAAGTACACAAGACACAGTGCACTCTCAAATGACGGTTTATTGGAACAGACACACACTATTAATACCATCTTTGGGGCTACTCGTTTATAATATAAAACTGTACCTGTCAAGTGCATTGCTTTCCCCTTGTTCTCTGATACAGAATGCATCGTAATTTTCAAAGACAGGTTTATCTGCCTATATCTCTTGAGATTTGTTTGCGCGAATCATAGATCCCATGGGCACCTACCCCAGTGCACTGCCAAATTGCACGGCGGGTTCTTTTACTGACCTTGCATCTTATCTTTCTTGCTTGTTATCTTCTTATCCCGTTGAATATGTTTTGGCATAGTGCCTACAATGGCCCCCACCGATATGTAGCCCGGTCGACGGCGCCGAACCGCGAAGTATTCCACCAACAGCTATCGCAGTAATATCGCTGTAAAAAAAATTTAAATCATCGCGTGGACTAGAACCCTACGCCAATACGAAATCGAGTGTCAACGGATTAGGCCACTTGGCCACGCCAGCAAACTGTTCTACGGGGCTCAAAATGCTTTCGTGAATATCTTCAGCAGACAATCTTCTGACAGATTATCTTTGCTTTTAATATTAGTTCAGTACAATCTTCCACAGCACTAAAACTGTGAGCAGCTCCTATAGCTCACAGACGCGATTCACTTCACTCGAAATTCAAGCCGCTTCAAGCTGTCACAACGAGAAGGAAGGCCAACGAAACGCAAGCGAAACGGAATGTCGGCACGTTGCCCTTCGAAGCTGGTCAGTGTCGTTAGCCTCCTCCCGAATAAAATGATGTCATTCGTGTGCTTTTACCCATCCTAGAAATCGTGTATCTGATATGTATGGACGCCGGAGCAGCGATCGTGTGCAATAACAACCATTGACGGTGTCTATTTTTTAGTGGTATCTGGACATGATCAGTAGAAATTTGAATGGTTTGATACCCAATGATATCAACTAACTCGGGGGCTAGTCGTAGTATCGGCAAACAGACACTATTAACAAAAGACATGACGTCGTCCGGACCGAAGCGACGTCATTTAATTTTAAAGTTACGCCACTCTCTGTCTGTTTGTTGTTCTTGGGTGTGTACAGAGCAACTGTCACCACACATGTAGTGAGTAGCGTGCGAACTCATTCACGTTCATTTACGATTCTTCTTTTGCAGAAACTTGACCTCAACCAGGACGGAGTGGTGACATTCGACGAATTCATTGAAACGTGTTTGAAGGTTGGTATTGGTTCCTTAGCTATTTCCCTCTGCCATTTGTCATTTTCAGAAATATTTTATGACTGCTTGCCCCTTGGGACACAGTGAAATTTGTTTCACACTGCGGGGACATGGCCACACTTGACTGACCAGCGACGCCGCTTGATCACTAAAAAAGCTGGGAAAATTATCCAATATACCAGAAGGCGCCTTATAGGTAGGGATCCGAAAATTCCGAAACTTTTAAAGGCAAATAAAAAAGTTTTTTTTTCCCTGTCATTTTGAAAATATTTGAACATTAGCCTCAGCAAGAGTAAATCAGCAATCTCTTCAAAGATGCCGACATAAATCAACAACGGAAAGAGTTTTTCGCCAGTTTTCGCAGTAGTTTACAATTACCATATATAATTTTATTGTTTATGATAGCTTTGTTATTTTAGCATATCTTTGATTATTCACGTGGCAATAGCCATTATTCCATCATACTAAATGCTGTAATAAATTTACTGTAAAGGTCAAGTTGCAGCCACCTTTCGTCGGTTAGGATGTTTTATTGCACAAAAGTATAATATGGTGATGCGGTAGAGGAAGCACGGCTATATGATATGCAAGTTTTATTTTCGTTGATAAGGGGCGTTAAAATGTATTAACTGGAAAATATATGACAGAGTTCATAAAAACAATTCCTTCTACACATGCATGCGTACAAATGACAGCAAACCTCCGGCGGCACTACATTTTCACTTCTCTGCCTTAAAGCTCTTAAAACTTTATTTTGATATCATTCAACATTTATAGTCATACTGCTGCACAATTCATACTGAAGAATGCAGCCATTCTCAATCGGTGCATGCTTTTAGTACAAAGCAAAGTGTTTGAAGAAGGATAGAGGCAGCAGCCAACCACAAGCTCTTGAGTTTCCTCCCATTTTCTCTCTTGCTCCTTAACTACGCCGTTTTTTTTTTTTTTTTCATGGACTAACCAATCTAATATGGCATAGCGTGTTTGATCCTCCACCTGAACTATCGACAGAATGCGAAGAACAAATCATCTGCTTCTTGCGCAGGAGTAGGGGTGACGTCAGAAAGACGCCGAGGTCTGATTGGCTCTCATTGCTGGAAAGTGGGTAAACCTCGAAAGTAGTTGCCTTGAGGTCTACCCACTATCTTTCACTTTGGACCAAACAGCATTCGGCGTTCTGATGTCACCATAATCCCCGCAAAAGAAGCAGACGAACTTCCGCTCCGCATTGCGTGCGACAAGATTCTTTTTAGTTTTAAAGTAGTTCATAATGTAAACGTTACAATATGCTCCTGAAATTTGCATAATTCTTCTGAACGAGTGAACTAAATTGGGTCTCAGCTTCTTCTTTTAACGTTTTCCGCGTTTTATGCGAATAGAACAAACGAAAAAAAACAGCTTTTTCCCAAAATGTTTTTTTTTTAATAATATTTTCGAGCCTTCCCATCACTACTTATAGGACAAGGTAAAATGCATTCATATCTGATGTAACGCGTGTAAACATCTTATAGGGTCTTGTCATAGCGGAGCCAGCATCTTTAGCTTCGTCGTTAAGACGAGTCGGGACCATAAAGACACCCAGAGCGAGGGTGATACCTCGATTTTCGTAGGAACGAACCATACGGCCTTCATTTCAAGGGTAAATCACCATGTACCCAAGTTTGATGAAGACAGAGATAAGTGGAGGGAGTACCTTATTAAGGTAGAGGTCTACTTCAAAGGAAACTAGGTAATGAACATTAAGAAGAAATGCTTGTTGCTCGCAGCGGCACTGGGAGCCAAGGCGGTTCGAGTACTCTGCGGAAGAGTATCTCCGCGCAAGCCTAACGCTCTAACCTTTACGGAAGTGGTATCTGCGCTAGATGCGTGCTATAATCCGAAGCCCAACGAAATGTTCAAAAGCTTAAAGTTTTTCAATCGTTGCCAGAAGCAGAGAGAACCTGTACATGAATTCGTCGAACAAATTCGCTGGATAGCAGACAACTGCAATTTTCTGACGATGTTAAGCATGGTCGTCTCTGGCGACCATGCTTAACATGGTCGCCAGAGACGGAGAATCTTGGGAAGCAATTGCTATCCAAAAAGGAACTAGCATTAGCCGATGCAGAAGCCTCTAGCCATAGCGGCTGAGGCTGCCAAAACGGACGCGGACAGAATGATTCGCGAGAGGACTTCGAGAGTGCTCAAGGTAGAAGCTAAAGGAAAGAAGTTCGAAAACTACGGGACACAAACCCGACGCACGAGTGTTTGTGACCATTGCGGCAACCAAGGGCAGATAGGTGAAAGCTAAGGGTACAAGGGAACGAGATGTTTTTCGCGGGGAATCTGGTAAATGGGCTAGAAAATGCAATAATCTTGGACAAAGCAGCTCATATTCGAAGCGCAAGTGCAAGTCAAAACACTAAAAGTTACTAGGAGCTCGTCGGAAGAAACAGAAACCGAGGCGGTCCCCGTATGAAGACTGAAGGGCAAAGCTGTAGGTCTGGTTCCATCAGTGCGGCGCAAGTTCTCCTAGAGCGAAGTCGACTTCCTGGTGGAAGTTGACACTGGATCACCCGTCTGTGTCATTTCAAGAGATGTTTACACCAAGCACCTCGAATGTTGCCCCAACTTTAAGCGCCACGTGTGAACTTTTTTTGATACTTAGGAGGAATACCAGTCCTTAGCATATTGCACAAGCAAATCTTATACGGAGGCAGTCTCGTAGATAGCAATTTACCGGTATTGAACTAGTATGGGTCATAGTTGTGTGGGCATGATTTGATCTTCCACTTGTACAAGACAGGCAGCCGCGTGGTAAGTCCTGCTGGCTGTATCGTTCCTCCTTGCAGCATCACAGTCAACGCGGACATGTAGAGGCTGTCTTCACCAAGTTTCAAGACCATTTTACACCGGGAATTGAACGGATCAAAGTACCACCCCCTTGACTGCCTCTAAAAGAAGGTGCCACGCCCAAATTCTGGAAAGCACGACCGCTTTCTTATGCCCTGGGGGATAATGGGCAGGTGGGACTAGCCGGTAGTTTGAAGTCAGTGTGATTTGGCCAGTGACAAATTCAGACTGGGCTACTCAAATCGTCCGGTACTTAAGAGAGATGGCTCAGTGAGCGTCTGCGTTGACTTCAATTCGATCTTGAACCCTGCATGTAAGGTAAAGCCGTACTCTTTATCACGCATTGAGGACCTGCTTGCATGCCGGAACGGCGGCGATTGCTTCAGCACCTTGGATCTGCGGGATGCGTAGAATCAGGTACCCCTGGAAGAAAAATCGGATAAGATGACGGCGGTAAACACACACAGTGGGCTCTTCTGCTACAATCGTTTGCCTTTCTGAGTATCTTCCGCGCCGACGATATTTCGCAGAACGATGGAGACCATGCCACGAGGACTACGTACTACCCAGGCAAACCTAGACGACGTAATATTGTCGGAACGAGCTTACATCGATGCTGCCAAATTACGGGCACCACTGCTGCAGCGCTTCAGGGAACACGCCGTCAAACTCCCAAAACACAAGTGCAGGTTCGAGAAGCAGGAGGCTACGTTCCTTGGACACCGGATTGGCGGAGAAGGCCTGCATCCGCTAGAAGCAAAAGTCGTGGCCTTAGAACAAGCACCCCGGCCAGAGAACGTGACCCAGCTACGATCCTTTTTAGTAATGTTCTCGTTTTACGCCCGATTTGCTCCCTACATGTCAAGCTTGTAAGCGGGTATCTACAAGATTCATGAGAAAGGAGCTCGATGGACGAGGGGACAAGCGCAGGATGTGGCCTTCCAGCAAGCAAAGGAAGCTTTCAGCTCGGCAAAAGTTATCACGCATTTGGATTCAACAACATAACTATGGCTCGGAGACGACGCCTCTCCATATGGCATCGGATATGTTCTTTCAAACCCAGAAGGCCGACAAGGCAAACCAACCGAATTCGAATCTATAACTCTGAAAGCCGCAGAACATAATTATTCTCAATTAGAGCGCGAATTTCTCGCTTCGATTTTAAGAGTAATGAAGTTTCCAGACTACCTTCTTAGAAGGTGATTCATTCTTGTCGCGGGTCATGAGCCGCTTCTTACTTTGCTGACACCCGACCGCCCGACTACCGCCGTCGATGCGGCCCTAATTCAATGATGGACACTCATTTTTGGAAGCTACCTCAACAAACTTCAATACAAGTCAGGTCAAGAGGTGCTCAATGCGGTTGCCATGAACAGGCTGCCGCTACTAGCTGCCACAGCAGCGGCAACAAAAACAGCCCTGAGGATGTGATTCCCGAATACGTACTTAATATGGAGCAGTTGGAGAAGGTAGTAGTGAAAGCTAGGGACTTGAAACAAATGACAGCTGCAGATGCAGTCTTGGGCGCTAAAAACTACAACAGAAGTGGTTGGCCAAGAAGTGAGAAAGACCTCGATTCGAGTCTGCGACCGTTTTACGGATGAAAACAAACTCTCGATGGTGAGGACCTTGTATACTGGGGTGTCAGCGCCATTGTGACGTAGGAGGCTGGCAGCCCACTCCTACACCTCCCTATCGAGACTCATCGAGGTGCGTTGGCTATGAAGGCAATAGCTAGATCTAAGTTTAGGTTGCCTGGACAAGACGAAGAAATAGAGTTCATGTCAGCGAACTCTGACGCCTGGGTCAAAGTGCTGCCACTGCCGGCATCAAAGGCACTGTAAATTGGTCCGCAACCCAAGAAAACATGTTCAGGGTACATATGTATTCTCTATCCCGTTAAAAACAAGATTATTCTGGTAGTGGTCGACGCTCATTATAACTTTATAGAGGGTAATCCTTTGAAACATGCAACCAGCGATTCCACCGTGTCGTGTATGCGTAAAGTGTTTAGCCGTTTCGGAATACCTCGCACTTCGGTCTCCGAAAATTCCGCACCCTTCACCAATGCGGTTTTCTACGTTTAAGTCGAGAAGCAAGATAACGCACATCCGAACACTTCGATTTCACCCACAGTCAAAATGTCTGGCGGAACGCGCAGCTCAAAC